TTTTCTTTCAAATAGAAAAAATGGCTGCCAATATCAGAGAAGAGATTCGTAGACTGCACCGACGCAAACAACTATATTTTAATCCTCAAATCAACAATGGAGATTCTTCAGATATGGAAGGCCCTTCCAGTCCATCTAGCCCTTCTGCTCAAAGTTCAAGCTCTTATACTCCTAGTGGAAAAGAAAAACCTCTTTTTACATTTAGACAGGTATAAAAAATGTATATATAATCTTTTATTAATATTACTAGAATTAACGATATCTAAATATGTAATATATATATTTTTATATCATTTTACTTACATATTATTTGTTATATTTAATATTTTTCTTCATTATTAATAATTTTTTTAGGTTGGCTTGATTTGCGAGCGAATGCTGAAAGAACAGGAAACACAAATTCGAGAGGAGTATGATCAGATCTTAAATATGAAGCTTTCAGAGCAGTATGATGCTTTTGTTAAATTCACCTATGATCAGATACAGAAAAGATTTGAATCTGCAGCTGCGCCAAGTTGTATGTAACAATACTTTTCTTTGTTATGTTTCCATAATTTGTATGTATATTTGATACAATCTTTCATTTCAGATCTATCCTAAAAGAGGATTGTTATTTATAAGGACACATTTCTCTGAAGAATATTATGTGAGGTTTACTTTTAACATTTTTATTTAATTACCATATACATCTTTATAATATTTTTTTTTCTTGCAAATAAGAAATTCACACACATTCGGATAATTAATTTTATAATTTATATAATTTTGTTGTCTACTCATAATTTAATTTATAATAAAGTTTCTTTGTCTATTATAGATTTGTACTGTGTGAAACAAATTTTGCTTCAAGTTTAAGCTGAATACGCTGTGCCACCTCGTTCGAAAAATTATCTTTAGATAAAGCCACAGTATAGTTTACTTTAAAAATAAAAAAATAAATAAAATATAAAAACAAAAAAAAAATAAAAAAACATTGAAGAAGGAAGAAGGATTTAGTAAAGTAAGTTTAGTAGACTCGTGCTGAATAACAGCCAGACTTAAAAAATTTACAATGTATACTATTGAAATTAACAATATTTGTACTGTCACATAACTCAAGTACGGTGGTATCAAGGAACTATATTACGAGGATGTTCTTATATAAGAGCTGCTACTATTGAAATTAATATCTTGTACGAGGCTATATAAAGTACTGTACTCAACAATAGCCTAGAACATTCATGTGATAGTTCTTTGTTAGTGTACAGTTGTAATGCTACAGCGTCTCAGATATTTTCCTTAAGAAATGCAATAATTAATGCTTGTATACTACAGATTTGTAAATCATGTGTCACTATTGTAATATTATCCATGACTAAAGGAAATCGCAAATACAAAGCAGTGTACAAGGAGGAGATCGAAATGTGTTAAAATTTCTTTTGGTTTTCTTTACAAAATCGAATGAAATTCGATAAGAATAGCATTTTTGAAATTAAATGTTAATTTTATTTTGAATTTATTTTTTGGTATGCCTATTTTTTCTTTTTCCTTCTTTTTGTTTTTAGTATGTACAAGGGTTCCATGTGAACAAGACATATATATTTGTTAGCATTAAGGTTATCATGTAAAATTATCATGTAAAATTGTACGATTAATGGAAGCATTATTAAAATGTATGAAAAGATTGATTATTGAAATGGTTATGCTACATTATATAGCTGAAATACTATTTCAAATCAAAACATGATCCTTTCTTTAATATATTATGTAGTCAATTTGTTTTTACATATGCCTCAGATAATCTCTTTATCTAGTATAAACATCTTTTATTTGTAATAAAGATATTACGAACTGTAACAATGCGTAAATTGTCAGATCGTACAAACCATTGTGAATAATGATGACGATAATAATAACAATACGAAATAAAGATTTCTTAGTATTCTTTAAAATTTTTTTTTCCCTTTTAATATTTTTCTTTACACATATTTTCTATTTTTATAATTGAATGTAATATTAAATTTTAAATCAGTCTTTCTTTATCTATAAGAAAAAAGCTTTCTTTATCTAAAATAGATACTTATTATTTTACATAAAAATTTATTATTGAAATAAATGTTATAATAAAACTGAGATCATAAATTCTATTAAAATTAAAACACATTAATATGAAGCACATATAAAAACTATGAAATTAAATAATTGGCACAAAAAATGTACAGAAAAATAACTGTCACTTATAACATAAACATACCATCATTCTAACATCAAAGCATCTGAATTACTGAATAAACGCATAAAAGACGTAACAAAGTTTTAACTAGATGTGCATTAATAATCTTATTAAGTAAATTGCATAATGAAATAATGTAATTAGTAATATGGCTTCAAGTTGTGAAGCCCCTGGTAAGAGTATAAGAAGGCACCACTGCAATGTTTGGAACTGTCACTTCTGGGTAGGACACAAACCTTCACTAAGCAGCTTGAGTAGAAAAAATGTTCCCTATCTTGTTTTTGGCTTTCGTTGTAGCCATCAAGGTATTCAAGAAGACCACGCCTAATGGTAAGTGTTACAGTACATGTATAAATGCAAACATCATATCTAATACAAACAAATAATTTTTCAAACTCAAAACTATCCACCAAATTTATTTTCATGATATAATGTATATCATACATCTATATACTAACAGGTAAGGTCACTGTCTACCTGGGTAAACGAGACTTCATTGATCATCTAGATCATGTGGATCCTATCGATGGCATCATTGTCGTGGAAAATGATTACCTCCAAGGACGAAAGGTTTATGGTCAGGTTGGTATAAATATATGTATTTCCTAAGCCTTCGTCACAACATACAAAGTTATTAACAAAAACCTGTTGTTCCTATTCAGGTGACTACTACCTATCGTTTTGGCCGAGAAGAAGATGAAGTAATGGGTGTCAAATTCAGCAAGGAATTGATTCTCTGCCGAGATCAAATAGTTCCTTTGAAAAAAGAAAAACAAGAAACAACTGCAATCCAAGAAAGATTATTGAAAAGACTTGGACCAAATGCCTATCCATTCCTTTTCCAATTTCCTCAGAACTCTCCGAGCTCTGTTACCCTTCAACCTGGAGATGATGATCAGGGTAAACCATTGGGTGTTGACTATACCGTCAAAATTTTTGTTGGAGAGAATGAAGAAGATAAGGTAATCTAAACAAAAAGAGCAAGGATTAATAGAAAGCAAATATTTAACAACGTTAGTTCAGAGAAAATAACAAAGAACAATATTAATTTTTATTATAGGGCCATAAGAGATCATCCGTGGCATTGACTATCAAGAAACTACAATATGCACCACCAATACGAGGACGCAGACTTCCAAGCTCTCTTGTATCAAAAGGATTTACTTTCTCTCAGGGGAAACTCAACTTAGAAGTTACACTTGACAAAGAAATATACTACCATGGAGAAAAAATGGCAGCTAATGTAATAATTACAAATAATTCTAGGAAAGCAGTGAAAAATATTAAGGTACATTATGTTGGTGCACATAATATGCTAAAAATATTTCCTTTATCGAGGCATTGTACTAAAGATAATATTATGATTATAGCTTTTTGTGGTGCAACACTGCGAAGTTACTATGGTCAATGCTCAGTTTTCACGACATGTGGCTAGCTTAGAAACTCGTGAAGGTTGCCCAATTACTCCCGGTGCATCCTTTACAAAACAATTTTACCTTGTACCTCTGGCTAGCAGTAACAAAGATCGCCGTGGAATTGCTCTTGATGGACATCTTAAGGTACTGCAAATTTAATAAATGTTATAAAATTGTTTCCCTTTGAAATGATTTACTAATTCCTTATTGATATATTTTCATATATCATAGGATGATGATGTAAATCTTGCATCTTCAACCATGGTGCAAGAAGGTAAATGTCCAGCAGAAGCAATGGGTATTGTTATTTCTTACTCTGTGAGAGTAAAATTGAACTGCGGCACTTTGGGAGGTGAACTAATCACAGATGTACCATTTAAATTAATGCATCCTACTCCTGGTAAGAAAAAAATTTCAATTATATTGCATTTATAATCGTAAATATATGAATGTTCAAATATAATATTTCTTTTTCTGTTGCCATAGGAGCTGTTGAAAAGGAAAAGGCCATGATGAAGAAGAGCAAGAGCATTGATAGAGCTCGCTATGAAAATTCTTGCTATGCAAACGATGATGATGATAATATTGTATTTGAAGACTTTGCACGCCTACGCTTGAATGAACCAGAGTAAAATATCTGTATATATGTGTACTATATTTCTCAAGAGAATCTTAAATTTTTCAATAATAAAATAGCAAGTATTACAGAAGGTAAAATGGAAAGAATTTTGAATTAATACTTGAAAAAAGTAGGATTCTTTTGACGAAAGAAATACGCAACCTATAATGAGAAAACTAGGCAATCAATAAGGTAAATTGTTAATTATAAAAATATTAAATTGTGATCAATCAATTATTTTAATAAATACATATAATTATTATATCCATATTATGGAACGCTAATAGAAAAAATATAATAAAAATAAATAAAAAAAGCGAAAACGACAATATGAAAATACCATGTCGTCATGAAATTTCCGTGCGATTGTGGTGGTCGCACGGAAATTCATTCAACTGACGGCCAAAAAAAAACGAGCTTAATCAATAATAATTTATACTTAATTATATTAAAAACTATCCCGTCTTACCAGAAGTGACATGTATGTTGTTAATCATAATTTCTTATTATTATGCTGTATATCAATATGTTTCTTTAATACTAACGAATATTAAGTTCATAATATTGTTCAGTTATTATTACTGTACATTAAAATAAAAATAAACAAAAATATAATATTAATTTATTAATTATTATTAATTATTAGTACTTTGAAATTACCAAAACGAAAAATCTATACACAAGCATACATAAGTAAACACAACTACATACAAAATAAAAATACCGAACTATATGAATATATAAACATAGCTAAATTCATAAATATACATATATACATATATAGATATATAGATATATAAATACACAATAATATTACTCTTAAATTAATCATACATTACCAGCGAAACGAAAGATTAATCATTACATATCCTAAATATTAAATCACATTGAACATTTCCTACATTACTTGTATCGCATAAGTACAATAAAAATATTAATATATATAAACAGTAAAATATAATATAGAAGACAAATAAAATAAGTGAAAAGAGGGCTGAAGAAAGCAGAAGGCCAAATTATAGTTTCGGCGCGTGTTGTTTCGATGGCAGCACTTGCGTTACGCGTGCGTCGATTTGTGATGTATAATTTGAAACTTCGTTCTTTCGTTTCAAAAGATATTTAAAGTTTCAAACAGATGAATCGAAATTTAGTATTATCGTTTAAATTATTTAATGACTCGAGATTTACAAATGTTTATCAAAAGAGCTGGTGAAGAATGAATTATTTGAACAGTATAGGAGGCAGCGGAACGAGTGCTGATTCTGGCCTCCAATTGAACAATGTCGAAGTGTTATATACTAAAGTGCAAAAGGTTTATATAAAACCTCAACATAAAGAAGAACGTCAACGTGATCTTAGAGTGAATGTTGAAACGCATGCTGGTCTTAGTCCTGTTTGTCGCAAGGTATTATTTCTTTCATATGAATAACCTGTGAATGATTTGTGTCCAAATTCTAGTAGAAATTGTATCTTCTATTTATTAAATAACGATATTTAATAAATTTTGTAACATTAACATGTTTTTATATAGATTAAAATTATTATTAAACTGTAATCATTATACAAATCATAGCAATTATTTAAATTATTAAAGGTGTTACAGAGTGCATCATTTTATTTCAGAGTTTATGTGTCTTATTGTCAGATGATGATGATCCTTGCTTTTTATATTCCTTGTTTATTGCCGAAGAGGATTTTAAAGTACTAAAAGCTCAACAAGGTTTATTAGTTGACTTTGATAATTTCGCAACACAATTAATATGTTTATTAGAACAATGCAATGTACCTGGTTCCAATGTGTCAAAAGCACCACCCAAATTTCTTTTGCTATTAGCAGAAGAAAGTACAGAATGGACATTCAAGCTGGTTGAAACTAATAATTTTAAACATCTTTGCCATTTGAGTTTATTTATATCTCCTGCTAACGATTCTGATTTAAGAACTCATATGGCTATGAAAATAAAACAATTAAAAGAGAATGTTTTACAAAAAAGTAGAGATGTGCTTGGGTTAGAAACACGATTAAATGATTTGACTAATAAATTTGAATCAAAGACTAAAGAATTAGACCAATTAGAACAAAGATATCTAGCAGAAAAAAGTCAAATTCAAATTAGTTCTACTCAGCAAATAAGTATTGAGAAGGACAGGTAGATATCTTTAATTCTTATATTATTTTCATGTTTTTCTACTTATATTTTATATACATTACATTTATAAATTATTGATATATATTGATATTGTATAATAGATTTGCTCAGGCAAGGCTAGAATGGCAGCGCCAAAATGATAAAGAGAAAATGGAATTAGAACATAGGCATACAGAAACCTTAAAACAATTACATTCTGAACTTGCTGAATTGCGTACACAAAATATGAGTTATAAGGATAAATTATCATATCTTGAAGCCACTAATAAAGAGCAAAGTAAACAATTACAGAATATTGAAAAAGAATTAAATGTTGCGCAAAAAGAATTAGTTTTTCTAAAAAAACAGAATTCAAAACTAGATATAGATTATCACGAAAAAGATAAAGCTGTTAATGGTTTACGTACAAAAGTAGCTGTACTTGAACAGGAATTAAAAGATAAGGGTGTAATCATTAATAAACATACAGAAATGTTAAAAACAGCAAAAGAACAAAAACAACAATTGGAAGAACTTTTAGCTGATAAGGAAGGTCAATTACAACGTAAACAAAATTCTTTGAGAAGTTTAAGCGATGAATTAGTAAAAGCTAATGAAATATTAACAAAATTACAAAATGAACTAGCTTCTACTAAATCTAAATTAAAACTAAGAACAAGTATAGCATTGGAACAAGAAAGATTATTAGACAGTAAACAAAAGGAAGTTGGTCAATTAGAAAGCAAAATGGAAAGTTTAAACAAAGATATTAAAGAGGCAAAAATAGGAACAGAACACTTAAAAGAACAAGTGAAAGTATTGCAAAATCAATTGGAAGAAAAAGACAAAATAATAAAAAATAATGATAATGGTAGATGTATTAACTTTTTTTATATTTATAAGTATTCAATATTAATTCATAATCACTATTTCATTAAATTTGCATATATTTGATTACAGTAATTAATTGGTTGAATCGCCGTTTAGCTGATAATCAATCTCCACTTCAGAGTGCTACTACTCCAGCTCCAGTTACTATTCCTTCATCGGTACAGCTAACTTTGCCAAGATCAAATAAATTATATGCAAATAGATTTGAAACACGAACACCTGCACCTGCCACTATGCCATCTACTACATTATCAGGATTGCCATTAAAAAATCCGATAGTTCAAAATCCAAATATTAATCAAACTACTCGTACCTCTGCCAGATCTATGGGAGTGGGAGTAGGAGATAGTACAATGGGTTTATCTTCTATTAACAAGACTGGACAAATTTCTAGTACTAGTACACCAATGGATCGCATTAATACTCTAAATAAATTATCAGGGAATGTACCAGGTATGTCATCTGTACCAGCTATTGTAGAAAACAATAATCCATGCATATCTTCAAATGGAACCAAGACAAAAGGTTCAAATGTTGCACTACAAGGTGGATTAAGAAGAGCTGGTTTGTCGGACAAACCAATTTTGCCTTCAGCTTATTTCCCCAAAACTTTACATTGACAAGGCTGCCAGTCACATTTTGACAAAAAAAAGAAAATAGTATAATTAAGTAATTTAATGTAAGTAATAAAATTTTATCTAACAAAGTTTCTTTTGCAAAATCAAAATATATAGCAAATATAACTATAATGCTGCCATAAGTGTTGAATGAAAATTATGAATCAAACGAAATGGTAGTATTTAAAATTTATTGTTAAGTGAAAAAGTACAAATGTACAAATAAAGTATGATCAAGATAAGTATTATTACAAGAGGTTTTTTAAAAGCAAAAATTTAATACTTATTAGTATCGTAATCGTATAAATAGAAAATTTTGTACAGTCTGAAGGTAAAAATTACACAGATACATATATACATATATATACATATATTTGTAGTTAAGATAGTATAATGTTTGATCTCTCACATTATAGACATATTTACAACCACGTATATATTTCCGAAAAAAAATCTTATTGATTGCGTGCTGTTAATAAAAATAGTACCTTTCGCTTCTCAGTTTTTACTGAGATAGCAGGTCATTTGTACCTGTATCCAAGCATGGATTGAAAATTGGCACTTCTGGTGCATAGACGCGTTTTAAATTTAGATAATGTCTTACAAAAATATTTATAACACGTTAAAATAATAAGATAAAGTTACAATATTAATTGAAATATGATTTTATATACAAAATAGTAATGTACATTGAAAAAAATTATTCATTTCTTCCTATAATTTCTAAAGTTTCTATTATTTTATAAAAAGCATATATGGTTTTTACATAAAATCTTATAGTCATAATTCGGCAAAAATAAATATTGCTAATTTTTTTAAAGAATTTTTTAACATGAATACAATTTTGATATTGTTAAATATTAATTCAATGTGTTTAATTAAAAAATCTCTTCATCTTTTTTTAGTATGACATAAAGTATCAATTTAGTATGACATAAAGTATCAATTTTAAGCAGTAACTGAAAATAAGGGTTTTAGTAAAACCTACAATGTACGTCACGTTAATCATTTTCCTATATATAAAAAGATGATGATCATGTATTAATAGATATCTGACAAAGGCATAATTTAATAATGCATAAATCCAATTAAGACTGTATAAATTTAAATAACTATGATAACGTAAAATGATTATATATATCACATTGTAAAACATCAATATATTGAGAATTAATGTGCCTTATATATAAGATAGGCTGGAAAAGTTCATTACATGCAAATTTTATAAAAGATTCTTCTAAAAAAATGTTTTAATATGTCAGTGTAATAATTCATTAAATATCATGCATGATTCTCAGCTAAAAGAATATTTTTACATGTAATGCAATGGATTATTTCTAGTCTACCAGATATTTTACTTAAGATAACTTATTATTTGCATATTAGTAAATCAAAATAAAAATAAAAATTTTAGATAATATAATTCATGTATTAATCTTTTTAAAATAGAATTTTGATAAATGTGAATAAAAACAACTTAGACATGCCAATTCATTAAACTACATTGCATACATACTAACAGTATTAAATGTAATAGATAATAGATAAGTCAGTCAATTTCATATATTTTAATACTTTTTGTATATAAAATTCTAATAAAAATTATGTTGTAGAAATATTTGGCTAATAATGCAATTATAAATTTTATTGTTAATCTTTTTTTATAAAAACATTACTCTTTTATATCAATAATGAATTTTTCTAGAATATATATTAAGCGAAGATTTTTAAATATAATAAACATACTTCAATGTGTCAAAAGTATTTGGTAGATTTTATGACTATCAATAACTATGCCTTTTTATAGGCAATTGTTTTATTGTACAATATACATTTAATTCAATAAATATTTACATAAACATTAATATACACATTAGAACCATCAAAAAATATATAAAGTCCAAATTAATAAACTCGCTGTAATTTTTATATACGAACTTTGTGAATATTTATAATATTGTTTATTTAATAAGCTTGGGATTTTGCTAGATAGACATTGTTTAATTGCTGCATAATATTTTTTTACATTATACCAATGTACAAATGACTATCTACAATAAGAATTTATAAATAAGAAAATACTGTAAGAATTAAAAAGAAAATTTATACAAATCATAAAATCAAATAATATTAACACATTATCAAGGTTATATAATATTAGTCAATATTATTTTCAGATGTTAATGTCGATTCAGGTGGTAATTCTGTACATCCCATGTCTAAAAGAGGAAGATCCATTCGTTTACGCCGACGTTCACACTTCGGACATGGTTTATATGCATTTAAGCAATCTGCATGAAATACGGCATTGCATGATCCGCACTGAAATAATTTTATGCGTATTACATAGATCTGACAGTTTTTCATGAAGCGATTAGGAATGTACTTACTCTATATGTAGAATCTATATCAAAAGGGTAGATGACTTTAGGATTATTGCATACTTCACAAATAAATCCTTTTTGACTACAAAGCCAACAATTTATTACATGATTTCGTGCAAACTCAACTACTCTTTGTAATTGTTGAGCAAGAGTACCATTAGGTATATCAAGAAGATCAGAAACAGAATATTGATGAACATGTTCATATAAATAATCTCTGGGGGCAACATTTTTTTGCAATGATTCAATAACAGGTTCTCGGCAAGTAAACAAATAAGCTCTCAATAAATTCAATTGTATTCTTAAAGACTGTAGTTGTGCCATGACATCTACTGCCATATATATTTTTGGATTCAAAATTTTTAAATCTAATAAAGTAGAACAATCTTTCAGGTACTCTGCAGCTTTTTGACAAATCATATAACGTTTTAAATCCCAATTATGAATCATACGTGATGGTATTATATATTCTCCTTGTGCCATACAATCTGCACAATAATAACTTGCAGAAAAGGAGCAAACATGTGCCTTTGAAAACGTCATACCAATAGCGTGGCCACAATTGAAACAGCTGTAATTTTGCATATCAAGGCCTTTTTCTCTTGGCAACTTTCCTAGTTGCTCATCAAAATTTATGACAATCTATAAAAAAATTTTAATATAATATTATATATTTTAATAATGTAATATATAACATTTTTACTTTTATACCTTAGCAGCAGTTGGAGATTTGATTTCTTCATCAACAGATTTTTTCTTCGGATATTTTTTTAAAAATTCTTGTAGATCTGGTACCATCATATTGCCAGCAGTATGATAGCTTTGAATAAGAGCATCATAGGTCGGTCCATCACCTGGAGTGCGAGGAGCATCCATTCCAGAACCATGAGATATCACAGATGAAGTCATAGAAGATTCACAATCTTCAAATGAAGTTGACCATCCTAGTCTTCCAAATAATGAATTTCCTACAGTAGTAGATATATTATCGGTACAAACAATATTATTTTCTTGAGAACTACTATCTTGATGATCATCTTGAATGATTGTAGTATTAATGTCAATTGTCATAGTTTCTATATTCTTTGTGGGTGTCCCACTAGCTGATACACTTTCCATAACTTCATTTATAGTTTCTTCTACTTTCTGTGTATTTACTTTCTCTATATTTTTTTGTTTAGATGTATGTGCAGGACTGCCATTTTTATTTTTCTGTGTAGTATGATGATTGTTAGAAATTTTATCTTTTAAAATAATTTTTAGAGCTTCATTTTCTGTAATACAAGCTATATTATTTAAAGCAGATTGCGAAGAATTAAAGGAACCTAAACTACCTATAGAACTTGCAGTTTCTACTTCTTCAGGATTATCATTATCCCTTAATTCTGTAGTTATTGTTTTTGCAATATCTACCGCACTAAACACAGGACAAGATTTCATGGGAGGTGACCATATACCAGCTAAAAGCAGAGGAGTACTTGACCAAAAATTTAAGAGACTACTATTGCAAGCCAGTTCAAAGCTTATGTAATCCAAGCTTTCTATTAATCGTTGAGCAATTTCTATTAAATCGGCATCTCTAATGAAGGCAGAACGATCATAATATGGTTTCAGAGCAGAATTATCCCTTCTTATAGAACACAAATAACTTGCTAATAGACCTTCGTTTAAGGCTAGTCTTATCCATGCTCTACAGTAACCCACTTCAGTGGTAACTTGTGTTAACGCTTGAATTTGATCAATAATTTGGCGATGGGAGAATACTAGTAAAGGTCCCCAAAAACTTGGTTGAGGCATAGCATCAAAATCAGGGCCGCTGAGAACTTCTGTCACTCTATTTAAAAGACTATCCTTTAGTCCATGTAAAAATATAGCTTCCAGTACAGAGCATAATGTCATTGCTTCTTCACAATTTCCAACTGCTTCTTCTTCTGCGACACCTGGTGCGCTCTGCATCTCCATCACACTTGTATTTAACTGTTTTTGTAGAGATTCTCTCACTAATATATTTCTTTTGTTTGTGAGGGATTTGACGGATTTTAGAAGAGAATTCATTTTCTGCAATATCTCTTGTCACCAATATTTTAATGAAACTAGTATGATTCCATTCGAACATCTTCGTGACTCGATAAAAAGAAATAATCGAGTCGTTTAAATCAATCGGATAATATCTTTATATCAGTATCATCGAAAGTAAATGATGTAAATTGCAATCATATAATTCGAGTATCATGCTTTCACTGACGAAAGAATAAGGAAATGACCCCAAAATGAATGGGATCATCGTGAGATAAGTACGGCACGTTGAACTTTGAACCAGTTAACGTAATACACAACAATGTTATCTCTATTTCTTCCTTCCTCCGAAGACGTCCGTAAATGTATTATAATAAATAGGTTAGGTATAATAATAGCAAAATATATCACAAACAGTACGACGTGTAATTTAAGTTCGAATTTAACGATCGATCGTGTATTTATATTTGCATTTGAGCGAATGCAAGAACAAAGAATCTCCAAGATTCTTTGAGATAGAATTAACTATCTCTCTCGCACTTAATCCAGTTTGTTCCGAGAAATACCACGTCCATTATACGAGGACAACGCAACGTCATTGCTTTCTATGCACGCACAATCACATAGAGTGAAGTTCGTCCTCTTCTCCTACCTTTCTAATATATTTTATTATTTATCGTAAATAGTCTTGATAAAAAGCGATAGGTTGCGCTGGCAAAAATTTTAACGCTTTGTTCATTTTGACGTACTCAAGTGCACTTTTGTTATTTAGCGTCACACCTGGCAGTCGCCCTGTTTCTTTCGCCTTCAAAATCTTCTTGAATAACGCGCCACGAACGGATTAATATATGCAATATGTCGGACATTTTTTGGTTCGATGCATTTCATTGGATCTGTTCAAAAGTTTACATAAATCTTCATTGCGTCATTAATATCATCATTTTTTAGAAAATGCAACTTTACATTATTATACATATCTTTAACTTTTTGTATATATACATAAATCATAAATAACGTTTCTATTCAATTTGTTCCATATATTTTAATAGATTAATTCGGCCATTTTGTATTCAAGTTTGTGTCATCGTAAAGCTGATCTTTGATAATGTTAAATTAAAAGAAAAGAATTAAGAAAGAACGATAGGAAATCAATTGAAATAGGATCTTCGATGAACGGAGGTACATCGTACGAATAAAAAAGAAAAAGAAAAAAAGAGTAGGGATGGCCGCATCCGGGCAGCGACAAGTACAGGAGGAAATTAATTTTGTTTTTGTATTTATTTTTTAATCGAAAGGGAGACGAAACGGAAAGCAAAACGAATGCTTGAGAAGCAAAGCTAGAAGTTGATCATTTCTATGTGTATCTTTTCTATATTTAGACGAGTAGTTAATACATTTGAAACATTGAAAACAGGTATACAGATGGTGTGTGTGAATGACCGAACGAACGACGAGATGATGCGCGTTTTGCGGCTTTGACGACGGTTGCTGTTCGTTGAACGAACGAAAGAAGAAAAGAGAAAGTATGACAAGAGGGAACAGGATAGAAAAAGGATGGTAGATCGGATACGAAAGGACAACGAAGGGAATAGTCAATGCAGGGCCGTACGAGAGAATAGATATACCCTTTTGGCGCGAATTTTATAAGTGAACGATATCAAGAAGTCTTTTAAACGATTGTAAAATTGATTATATTAAAATTGTCTTATAATTATCTATCTTAGTTGATAACAGGCAATTATAACTATGGACAGGTAGTCGATGATTAGATTCATTTTTATTAACCGTGTTTGATTGATTCGATGAAAACTATGATTTTATTAATCAAAATTATCTTCATTTAGTTGGCAAGCGCTTTACTTATCGATCGGTATCTAACATCGTATTTCTCTTGCAAGTTTTACTTGTGTTTTTTCACAAAGTGACTTGTGAGCGAAACACGGGCGAAAAAAAGAATGCGAAGGACCTCGATCGAGTGCTTCACGGGTTTCGGAAGTGTGCACGTGCATTGAAGCGTCCAATTTCGAGAGACCGAGAGATTAACCAGATGCTCGACATGTCCAAATCGAAGCGCTTGAAATTGGATCGCACGAAAGAATGCGTTGGAAAAATTATGAAGATTGACGTTTTGAACTTTTCAGAGTAAAAACGAAGTGGAAGAAAAATGAAAGGAATAAAAAGGAGGAGATTCGAATGAAGGGAGGTTCTTGAGATCAAAACATTCGTGAGAAAAGGACTCAGATTTTCCCCTCCGTATATACACGCGAGCAAACCTTCGCATTTTCTTTGCACGTGATATTACGAACAATGTGTTTTCTCACGATAATCGCCTCATAGTTTCTCCATTTAGCGTTTTACCACACTACAAAAGATACATACATGCAAAATCCACTAAGTCCCTTGTCGACCTTGTTTCCTGTTTCTGCACCAACATTGTATAAAGTACTTTCATTACCCTCGTACAGCGATGAATCTCATCAAATAACATTTCCTTCGTACATTTTTTTGTGCAATTCCTTTTACTTTTTATAATTTAACGACTTGCTTCAGAAAAATGTTATGAATTTTTACCATTTTCTCTATTATATCGATGACAAATGGAAATAATTAATATGAATATATTGTTAATAGTAAATAAGACATAACGTAATAATTGCATTTCTTAAATGAAAGATATAATGAAAAGGATAGAGGAGTCGAAGGTCCGCCGTATCAACATACAGTCCTGTGTGAAGAGTGGGGTAGCGTACTCGGTGGCAGAGAGTGGGGGTTTCGAGGGTGCCGCTCGGTACGGTCGGTGCGCGCTGGAGCAGTGTCAGTCGGGACGTGAATTGAAAAGGGTAATGAGAATATTTGTTCTGTCCCCATTTACTTCTTCCATATCTATTCTCCCCTCTTTAATTCGACTGATCACGTCGACTCTATTCCTCTCGCTCGTTCGACCTTCGATCAAGAGAGAAAGATAAAGAAAAGAAAAAAGGGAAAAGGAAGGAATACTTATTGTCGAGGGCAGGCAAGACGCTCGATACGTCGTGTCTCTTCGGCGCGCGGCTTGCCGACGACGAGACGACAAAAAGCGCCCTTTATCGAGCGATCTCTTCTTTCGTGTGCACGTGTCTTAAAATAAGGGAAAGAAGAAGAAAAGTAAAGAGAAAAGAAAAAGAAGTCTCGACTCTCGACGAAGGAAGAGGAAAGAAGAATACGAAATAAAACTTCGAATGTAGGGATAGAGGGCTGGAAGGGCTTCGCGAAAGATGCCAGCAGCTCACGAGGCGAGTAACTGTGCAGAGTTTGAAGCAGACGAGGAGGAAGGTGCAAGAGGAGAACGACTAAAAGAGGAGAAGAGGCAGCAGGAGCAGAACCGGGGCCATCGGCCCTCGGGGTGCACCACCTCTTCTTAACGCTACGAACGAAGCAACGTGCACGTATGAGCCTATGATTATAAATTTGTCTTGCTTCGTTCTCGTCCTTAGTTAAGGGCACTAGCGAGAAGTACGGAGATTTTACACATTGATAGAAAAAAAGTACAAGGAGCTAATAAATGTAAATGCGATCAAACACAATCTAATTGCTCCATTTACACTTCGTTCATCTTGATCGTGTTTAAGCTTAGGAAGCACTGATAGCAAGAGTACTATAGTGCCTCTTATCTTTCTTATTATCGTTGACACGATCCTAGACGGCAACGGAATCGTTGCTTGTTGTTATTGTTGTTGTTATTGTTATTATTGTGAAAGAGAAAGAAAAATGCCAGCATTACCGAGCACGATCGAGTCACGGCACATCGATGACGTGACGCCACCTCCGATGATTGCTTCCTCACCGTCTTCCTCAGCATCCTCTTCAGCATCATCCTCAACGTCTTCACCACCAGCACCAAGAATGACAAGTCCTCCGAATGTTGCTACGGCGACATGTTATCTCCCGGAATCAAGATTGATCTCTAGATCGATTGTTTCTACTAGATATCCAGAAGAAATTGAGGAAACCGCGAGAAGTAATTCAGCATCGACAGGTAGCACTGGTAGCAGTAAGTCTGCCGACGCTAGACCAAGGCAAAGTCTCTCGAAAAGCTCTGCTTCCTTGCGGAGTCTTGTTCGAAGAAAGAGTCGACGACAAGTTGGTGGTAGTGCTACTGTAAGTGGTGGATCTTCATCTATTATTGAGTCCAACAATGATTCTCGACACTCTCGTCATCACGGTTCTGAAGATGGACTTCATCGAAGACGAGAAAGTACAGGAGGAGAAGAAGAGACGACGATGTACACAAGTGGAAGGTCATCTGCTCGAAGAGCTTCTTCTGTAGTTAGAGGAACAATGGTAGCAGGAATAGTTGGAGGCCAGGACAACAACAATATTGGTCAAGATGCTTCTTCATCCATTAGCAACGTTGTTTTCGTTGCACCCACTGTGGTCTCTAATGCTAATAGGTTCGTTCGAACGACCTCATCGTCTCTTGTACGTGCAACCAGCGTGCCTACCACTCCTGGACCATCGACTTCAAACTCGTCCTCGCACTGGAACAACTCGAGTGAACAGGAGACCGATTATGTCGTCGATCCTGTTCAAGGAAAGGCATACTACAAGGGACAATTTCTTGGAAGAGTAAGTGATTTCCTTTACTGGTCTATCTTTCTTTTGATCATCTAGTATGTGCGCTCATACACTCGATCTCCAGGTAACACCTGCCTCTTCTTCGATTTTTCTTTCCTTCCTTCTTCTTTTTCCTTTTTTTTCTCTTCTTCTTCTTCTTTTTCTTCCTTCGTGATATTCCTTTGCCTTTGGCTCCTCGTTCTCATTGATTCACTCTCGTGTACTCGTTTCCAAGGTCCCGTTTTCACAGGAATCATTAGTTTACATTAATTCGAATCGTGGGAATACACAAGTATCTTATTTAGTTAATTTTGATATTGTTTTTTCTTCATAAGTGGTTCTGTTTTATTAATCAAATAGATTTGAAAACTAAACAAACTAAAAAATAATAAAAACTAATAAAAACTAACAAAATAGATTTTGAAAGTATTCAAAGAAAATAAATATCCAAAGACACTGTCACAAGCATCCGAAATTTTCCTCGTTTCGTTTCTATTGAAATATTACCTCGCGAATTAATTTGATAATAGCTTTAAAAAGAAAAAAAAATTGTGACAAGGTCGAAAGTAAGTGGTTACCTTCGTCTCTTTGCATGTACTTTTTTTTTGAAGGACAATTAGCAACGAACGCGAAATTATCTGGGTTGAAAGCGTAGTCACAATGATAGATGTCAAACTTTGATAAATGAAATATTGTCATGTTGTGCTAAATAAAGATTGTCGTAGATCGTAAAAGAGTTGTTAACTGATGTAGCATAGAAGTTTGTAGGTCGTGATTCACACGGTACTCGTTTTGATGTACTAAGAATTTTAATGGCGTCCGTTCGCGGAAGTTACTGTCGCAGTGACATTGCAGATTATTTCCTAGAAAGAAAGAAAGAAAGAAAGAAAGAAAGAAAGAAAGATATGTGGGCAGAGGAAGTCATACGAATCAGAGAAGGGTGTCGAAGAGAAAAACAGTATTCTTTTAAGTTGGTAACAATATTCAGTATGAGTAGATATGAATTTTAATCTGTTATCGCGCAAAGATTTATTATTTTATTAAGACTCGTTTCCTCTGATCATTTGATTTATTCGAAGAAGAATTAACAAATAAAGTCTATTTTGCGAGAAGAACAAGAGAAAGTTTGATGGAGATGCAAAAAAAGATAGAAGATGACAATCGGAGCAGTGTGAAGTAACGTCTTGCGCGATGAGAATCCGAAATAGCATCTCGCATCTTTGCCGATGCTGTCATTAGCTGGAACGTCGACACGTCATCGCTGTTTGCTCGTGAAAGCTCAAGGCTGTACAACCTCCTATTGGAATTTTTTTCGAACAATGTTATTATCTCTTACTATCTTCTACTTAACTTCGTTATTATCTTTTATTGAACAATCTTGAAATCTTTCATCGATCTATAACTCGTAAAAATCATTCTAACATTTTCACGATATTATCTTTTATAATTCTTTTCGTTTATTGATTATACAAGTCTTTAGAAATAAATATAGAAATGAACACTCATTGGTTTGGAACTCTTTTAGAGAATTTTGCTAGAGAAAAGAAAAGAAGAAGATAGGATGCAGTCTTAATTTATATGCTCGCTTCGAAGAGAGAACCGGTCGTCGTCGTCGTCGTTTCGTCATCTCGATTATCCTGTACCCGACGTTCTCTCGGACGTTACTCCGCTCGAGTTCTATGTATCTCTCTTAACTAGAAAAGCAAAGCTCTCCGTTACGCTTCGCCAATACTTTATCAAAACTCACTTCTTGATATTTCCGTGTTTGAGCGAATCCATTCCGATAGTGTATCTCTTTCTTTCTCTTTCTCACTTTTCTTCGGCACACCCTCTCTCTTTTTTTATCTCACACGTATGCTCGTTATCGTGACTATTCGCGACCGGTTGCGAACGAACGAGCGAACGAGCGAACGAACGAACGAACGAACGAACGAACGAACGAACGAACGAACGAACAAGATTTGCGGAAACTCGTTTGAGCTTTTTCAACGTGCTGACTTCGGGTTAATTATTTCCTCTTATGCGCTTTGTACCGTTATCGTATATTATATCGATGGTGGTATCATTGAGTATATTCACGAGTAGTCGAATGACATAATCGCGTATCGGACATTACAAACATTACTACTTAGTATATATATTTAACAATTTGTTCGATCAAATAGTTGAAATGATTAGATAATTATTGTATTAGATATTTTTGTTCATAAATTTAGTTAGATTTTGATTATTCATAATTGGCGATGTATTTATTCTTGTTTTCTTCGTAGTTAAACGTCTGTTAATTTTATCGCATGTATGTAATATGTATAAGCATAAGTATATTCCTAATCGGTATGCACAAGTCTCTCCGTATACACGTGAATACATATGTGCAAGTCAATGACATCGTGTGCCTTTCACCAACTGGTCCGTACTCTGTGTGTGTTTGCGTTGCATGTGTTTGTGGCAATTGTGAAGAGGATAAGTTCAACGGATGGGCCTCTTCCTCTGTTACCCTCCTCCTTTCTCTCTATCTCACTCTCCACCTCGTTTCCCTTCTTTTTTTCCCTTCTTCACTCCATTTCTTTCTCATCGTAGGTAGAAGAATGTTCTTTTCGTGGAGAGACTAACCTTCGACGTTTCCTCGCGTATATGAAAGATCAGAAATAACATGACTTACGTCGCGTTCTATACATCGATCATATTTCTGATCATAGTTTGCGAGCAATACATCATTTTCTTTGTGATAGCAAAGTTACATCTTCTAAAAATATCTCTTCTTTTATTAACTTCAATAAAACGGTACTTCGATGAATAAACAACGATAATATTAACATCCTTAATAGAGAAAACCTAAGATTACGTTAGTAATTTACTACAGGAAGTGATCAATCCAAAAAACGAATTACGAAACGTACGTATATTTTATTGACGTTGATGGTTAAGTAATTAACCGGATTACTGTGATATGTCTTATGTTTCCAGTTTCATAAGCGTTATGATGGATCAACTTAGAAATCAATTTTTATCATTCGTGTGCTCGTTAAAGTGTACATGTTTACTTCATCTTTATACTCAGTGTTATGTCTAATGATCTCTTTTATTCTCGCCACTTTTAATACTTTGTGTTTTTCAATGAAAGCCAATGTAAGTTAATTGATTTTATTCATTCATTTATTTGTCTAGTCAGTAAACGATCGTAAATTTTTCTTATTTTATTTTTTGTTTTATTATTTGTCCTTAGGAAATGTCTCCTAAAATTTTTGTCAAATACTATGATTTCTTTTTTGCTTCTTCGTTCAAACTAGATAATAGTCTCAAAAAAAAGAGAGAGAGAAAAAGAAACAGATTTTCTACTTAAAATGGACAATAGATTGCATCCAACCAAAACTTCTTAGCTAAAGAACTTTTTACATACAATTTGAAAACTTTTTTACTCTATGCTGAAATTCCAAAGAGATCACGATAAGTTCCAACCCTATTAAACCGTGCTCATAGCAGGTATATATCCTCCAAGGGATCGTATTATTTAAATTTTCAAAGAAGAACGTACACCCGCAGGTGTTTTCGATTATATTCCAATTCTCGTTGAATTGAATTTGACACTTACTTATACATCTACGGAATAAGAGTTAAAATAGAAGGTTTTAATTTGCTCACGTGCATATATTTTGCCTCTTCTAATTAATACTTTTGATTAATTCGGTCTTCGTTTCTCCATCATTGTTTTTGACGATGTAAGTTTGCGTTTGATCGATAGTCGAATATTATGTTCGGTGTTTTTAAATCAAGTATTTTATTATTACATGTTAAAAATGTGATGTTCTAAAAAATATTTAATAACAAATATTTATAAAAATGATAAAGATTATACAGGGTCGGCCAGTAGTTTCTAAATGATTTTAAAAATCAATTACTCTTTTTTCGAAATTTTTAGGCTATTTTTTCCAAACTAGACTTGTAGTTTTATAATCTGAAAAAAAATTAACATAAAAAATCTTGAGAAAAAGAGTAATTGATTTTTAAAATCAATTAAGAATTATTGATCCACCCTGTATTTTCTTATAATTTTGTTAGGTATTTGGAATGATAGTATTAAATAAAAATAATAATAATGGTAAATGTGCCCCTTTATTTAGATTATAAAGAACGATTGAGAAAGGCAAAAGCGTCAGAGCATATTACGTGAAATCGTAAGGTGCAACGAGCCATACCAATTACAGTTACACGCTCGTTTTCCATTCGTAACAATTCTTACGTCTTCTTACATCCGCGAAATGAAGACGATCTAAACATAGAAGAGGAAATAAATCGATTAGTAATCGATGGAGGACGACAGTTGAGCATCTTTCATCTAGAGTAGAATATCGAGGGTAGTAAGGATGAGTGGAAAGATTAAACAAAAGGTCACTTGAAAAGGAAATACCATCAGGAGGAAATATTAAATTAAGATTTCCTTGTTTAGAAGTTTATCTTCGTTTTAACGATTATCGCTGATACAAAAATTCTCTGGAATAAATTCTGACGTCTTTTACATGATTAATATTTCAAATCTTTTCAACTGAGTGGAGATTGATTCTTCTCTTATTTCAAAGAATTATGAACTTTTTATATTTTCATGGTAGCAACTGCCAATACTTTGGTTGGTTGCCAAGAAAATAATTTGTATGGTCGATAATTAACAATTTTCATATTTTTTCAGCAACAATGAAATGTGACAATAAATAAATTAAATAGAGACGATCGGTTGAACTTTACCGATTATTTTACAAATGAAAGAGACTTTTCATCGATTATTTATCTTGGCAAGGATCACTGAAAGATCTCTTCACTCTTTCTTTCCTTTGCGCAATAATAAGAGTCACTAAACGTCAAATTCGTCAAATTCGTTCATTTTGTCTTTCTCTCTCTCTCTCTCTCTCTCTCTCTCTCTCTCTCTCTCTCTCTCTCTCTCTCTCTTTCTCTCTTTCCCTCTCTATCTCTATTTCTATCTCTCTTTCTCGCACTACAAATCGTCACGAATCATTTTGACTTCATTTATCGATCGTTGAAGTACAAGTGAACTTTAGAAATGGCATGTTGAACACCCTGATGCTTTTATATACTATAATGAAGCATGTTGGTGAAAGAAAAAAAAAAGAAATTCAGCGACCGGTTTCGATGGTATGTCATGACCGATGTGTCATTCATTCCGATTCCAATGAAATAATCTCGTTCTCACACGCCATTCTCTTTTTGCCAATGACTTAACAACAATAAGGATGGAAATAATGGAATGATATCAGGGAACGAACAGAGAATCGATTCGTAAATCGATCATTAGAATTATTCGAAATAGTACAGATTAAATAGAAATGGACGATATTTTCGTTCGCATATTTTCAATTCTCTTCTATTTTTCTTCTTTTCTTTTTTGTCAGTGTCACTTTTCTCAAATGTTATACGTATTTAAGATCTGTTCTTTCTCGAATGTCTCTAAAGTATTCTTTGTCGAGCAGCCACCGAGTTATACTTTGCTCGCAGTGCATTCTACGAGTTTGCATATCTACCTACTATACTAGGCAAACGTCTATCGATTCTTTCCATTTCACGGTTATAACTTTAACACGCTCCGATGCATTCGAATCTCTCCTGGTTTCAAATATACTCATGGTGTTGGTTATCATTGACTTTCGTAATTACTATCCATACTCGTATTCGTTTTGTTTCTCTCATCGTTGTGAACCAAAGCATATTTATCACACGGCATCGAGTAGAGATAAGAAATTGTTGAAAATTAATCGACGTACTTTCGAAACGTATATTATACCGCACGAAATTCGAGTTGTGTTCGTTACGAAGAAGTTGTTCCCAGAGACGACATAAATGATAAATCATTTTTAACATTTTTATCTTTCTTATCCATATTTATAAGAAAATCACTAATACATATTATCACTAATACGAATTTTTATATCTTGCATGACATTATTTTCATTGTTCGTTTTAACACATTAGATACATTAAACGTATTACTGTATAGTACGATCATAAACGAGAATAGCAGACAGAAACGGAAATAAAAGTATATATGTTAAGAATAGGTAAAGACGAATGAAATCTGGCACGATGGGTATCATCCGGCATGTGCCAAGAATATATGTTCCAAGATCGAAGTCTCTTCTTGTGTGATCCTAAAGTCGATATGAGTTCACTCTTCTTCTTCTTTTGTCCTCTTTCTTTCATCAACGATCCATTTAATGAGCGAACACAAAGTGCACGCGTTGAAAAGAAGGAAAAAGAAAAAGAAAGAAAAAAGAAGAAAGTATTCTTGGGAGTCTCACGAGTCGACGGTATTTAAAAATAAACACGTACAGCCTTTGCCATAACCGTACGTTTGAAAGTGTATGGCCGATGTAGGGAATATTTATGATAAAGTTATTCCTGAAACATTGTCGACGGAACGTTTACCGTAAGGACGATGCTCCAAACAGGTAAAAAGGATCCAGCTCGAGCGTTCAGACAACGTGGATTCAACGATGATCTCACGACCGTTATGTCGGACTAGCGACGCCCATCTCTCCTCACATTTTCCCTCTTATATACATACATACATACATAAGTATTATGTACGGCCTACCTTCTCCTTTAGCACTCTCATTCCTCGATGAAACGACCGATCGAAAAATCTTGAAGATAGAATCGACGATCGATTTTGTCTTCCACTTGATAGTGACAGCTATGTGAACTAAACAAGAAGAAATAAATAGAACGCTAATCTCCAAGAATATGTAGATACCAAGAATACCAAGCTCTTAACGAATCTTTTTATCATAGAACGTATATTTTTATCGTTTAATAAAAAGTACAATGGACCCGCATCCCAGTTCGACTGCTAATTATAATATATATATTATTGGAAAAAAATTTCATCGTACTTTCAGATACTAATTATTTTGGAAAAATAGATTTTTTTTAAACGATTAAGTGTCTCTCAAGACTCTGAGTTAATAGCAATAATTAATTCGAAATTACTTTTTTCAAGTTATCATTTCAAAGATTTTGACATCATGTTTACGATTCGATATAGATTTTGCCTTTGCGATTGTCTACCTAAACGAGTTGTAAATAGCGCAGAAACATTAGGCTCGTCTCTCTAGCACGATTCTCGTAACATCGCAGGAATATTTTCAAGCGTATCGTTCTGGCAACGAACCCATCGAACGCCTGTTCACCCTTTTCCACGATGGCTGAGTTCCTTCGGCGGAGATTTAACCATGTCACCTTGACACAAGCCATTAAGTTTTGTAGAAGAAAACGTTGAAAACAACGAAACGAGATCATCCTTTCTTCTTATTCTTTATTTTCTCTCCTAAAAGTAACATTTTTCATATTGATGTTGACTCTCATAGCGATGACGAGCATATATATACCTATATATTAGTTACGAGCAGCTGTACTCGTTTTATCGACTCAACGCGAAAGCGAAGCAGAAGAGGAGGAGGAGAAGGAGAAGGCGCGAATCCGGAACGAAAAATGTCGAGGAAAGGAGAAGAGACTCTATAAAGACTCGTTGGATTCTTGTCGAGAGTCATTGAGAATTATCCTATCTTCGAGAAGATATATTTTTTAATAGAGATCTTGAAAGAGAAAACCTTTCACTTGAAGAGATGAGAACGAAGGAGAAATTCTCATTAAGAGGCAAGTCTTCGAGATTTCTCGAACAAGTCAAAAGATGAGCCTTATCCTTTTTTCTTCTTCCTTCTTTTTTTCTTTTCTTCTTTCCTTTTGTTTTACATGCGTATGAGCGATGTGTTTCTCTCTTTTTGCGTGCGTATACATACGTAAGATCATCTCGAAATAGCCACAACTATTTCTACTCTACTCTCCATTATTTTTTGTATTTTGTGCCAGAAAGAACGAATTCGCGTTACGTTCATTCTCCCGTTGAATTTTGATAAGAAATATCGGGCTTATAAAATAGGATTTAATAACGGTTCAATAATTTTATTTTTCCAGGGTGGTTTTGCTAGGGTCTACCTGATGACCGACGTCAGTGATGGAAATCAATATGCTTGCAAGATAATCCCGAAAAATCGGATGCAGAAGATCCACATGCAAAAGGTTCGCACACGTCGCCCACCTTTCTTTCATCGTATGCGTCCTCCAAGATTTATGTGCTCCACTTGGGTTCATTCCAAAATGGATTCCTGAAATCAAACGCGACTTATTCGTCTTTCGTTTATCGAAGAATCGAGCGGCAAAGTTTCACCTGTAGGATCAACAATGAGTCTTTCGTCAAAATTTCATTTGCACGGTATGGGAGAAGCCGAAAACGTAATAAAAGATTTGCGAGAATGAGAATCATACTAATAATTTCATTCGAGCAATGCAACATGTAGCTATTGTTAAAGGTAGCATAGTGAAGAATAAATAGAATTTCTCGACTGGCTTCGACGTTTACCGTTGCTTATTTCCTTCCTTGTAACAATCGATTATTTCGCGATAATCGTTATTAGAGCAAAATAGATAAATCGTTTAAAAGTTTTTTATAAATAATCGTCTATCATATTGAAGGACGAATAGTTTGATTAATTTTTATATTAATGGCTGTAATGATACTTTAAATAAATCCCTTAAAAAGCATGCATGAAAGAACCTTTCTGTTTGCAGATTGCACGCGAAATCATAATTCATAAAGAATTGAATCATGTGAACGTTGTACAGATGCATCATTACTTCGAGGACAACCTAAACGTATATATGCTGTTGGAAGCCTGTCCGCGAAAGGTATGACTTGTATACACGTATACCTTACACCTACCTGCTACTTTTCAACGACATAGCATTCTATAGCATTCACGTGAGATTTCCCAAGCGCACATTCTGACGATTCCTACCGTCACCTTACCTTCAGTAAAGAAAGGAACTGGTATCTTTGCACGAGAGATGAAGAGAAATAATTCTTATAACAGTTAGATAAAGCGATTATTAACTAAAACAGGTTTTTTAAATTTGATGCCTATAAAAAAAATAATTTTTCGAATTTGATCCCTATAAAAAAGAAATAATAAGACACGAATATATTAAAAAATAGTTTCTAAAGTATTTAGTAAAAGACTAAGAGTTAACGACAAATATTCGTGGAATTCAGGCCGACTTCCGATCTAGTCATGGACAAATATGCGACCAAGGTAGTTTGTACGCGATCCTGCACGTGTTCATTCTTCGGATTATGCTTACTTGAGCTGCGCATTATCCACCTCGAGCTCTATCTTTTTCGTTCGATTGGTAAAGAGAGCGGCACTTACACTCTCCGTGGCCGATCCGTCGACTCGTTTGTACCGTTAGGATGTGACGGAGCGACAGCTACAATCTTCTCTCTCTCTCTCTCTCTCTCTCTCTCTCTCTCTCTCTCTCTCTCTCTCTCTCTCTCTCTCTATTTCATTAAATTTTCACAAAATTTTCTTAATCTTTTATGAAAATAGACGTTATAGATCACAACATTAGTTATAAAGTATTATTAACTTTTTTCAAATGTTATCTAATGAGTATATAAAATGTAATATTCTGTAACCGTTAGTTGTTAGAAGTTAATTACCTACTCACAATATTATCTGCTTTATTAAACATTAAAGAACGTTTCTAGTAAAAAACAAAACTAAGTAGTCGGATAATAGTTCTAAAAAGAACATAGTCACGAGAGGAAATAATCGTAATGCATTCTAGTGTTTCTTTTAAAAGCGTAAACCTTTCTTGCTTTTCTTTCGGCAGAGTCTAATGCACGTATTGAAGTACCGTGGTAAAGTCACGGAGCCGGAAGCACGGTATTACATGAAACAAATGGTGACCGGTGTGGCGTATATCCACTCGCAGAAGGTCGTCCATCGTGATCTGAAGCCAGGTAACATGTTCCTGTCGGATCGTATGATCGTCAAAATTGGAGACTTTGGCTTGGCGACAAGGCCCGATGGTCAACGTAGACGTGTGTAAGACAACTTTTACTTTTTGTAATTCAAGCGCGAATTTCGCATTAAAAATTCACTTTGAAATTCGTTAAACGAAACATATACATGTTAATTTAATCGTTAGATAAAAAACAAAATTTGCTTTCTTTTTCTTTAATTTCTTTAAAAATATTGAAACACTTTTAGGACCATATGTGGTACACCAAATTATATTGCACCGGAAGTTTTGTATAAACAAGCATACAGCTATGAGGCGGATGTTTGGGCATTGGGTTGCATCCTTTATGCATTGCTAGTTGGGCAGCCACCCTTCGACACGGCGACATTAAAGGAAACCTACGCGAGGATATGTAAAAATGATTATCGCGAGGTCGACGACTCGATAGCAAGTCGGAGCGGTCAGAATCTCATAAACTGGTTGCTACAACCGGATCCAGAGTTGCGACCGTCCTCGGAAAGGGTGAAGGAGCACCCGTATCTCACGAAGGAATACATACCACCCTCTTTACCCCACACTTGTTGCTACCAAATGCCGCACGCGACGATACTCGAACCCGCCTCTTCTTCGCCTTCTTCGGTCTCAACTGCTTCCAGAAATCAGGAACTTGGAAAAACTCAGGTAAGAATGATTTAGGAACAATAGCGAAATTGTATCATCTTTAGGATGAACATCAAGAAAGACAGAAAAAAGAGAA